CCTCCTACAATAAATCCAATTGTTCATATAGGAGGCTAGTTCATACATAGATTTAGTTTTAAAATGCCAACTTGTACTAGATTATCGAGTGTGTTATGGGTAGCTAAGGCTTCAGCCACTTCACCTGACAGTTGATACACTATGCCTGCAGTATTTAGAGACTGAGAGAAGGCTATCCTTGAAACTGTTGCTGCAGTGGTGGAGGCAGCAATGGCAATAACAATTGCAGCAGTGATCCCGAAATCTCCTTTCCTCTATGCCACACAAGTTGGTCATCTGTAGAGGTCTCTGGCATAGGTACTACCCCAGGTACGCAGACCACAACAGTTGTTACTTCATACATCCATCAGCTAACCAATCGGCAGACCTGTTGAGAACAATTGAGACTTCCTCCAAAATTAGTAGCATTAGTTACAACAAAAATGAGGGGAGCCAGAACAAATGTGCCTAAAATAAAGGTGAAATTCTTATCCTTTGAACTGAAGTGTAATTTTATAGCTGCTTTACATAAACTTTAATTAGTGGTCAGGAAAAAGGGGTCACACAGGGCTACTCGGACCCACAGGCATCAGAATGGGTGGATTCTTGAAGGTCCACCTATTGGACCTTCTTGCTGGCTGCTACAATTGCGGCTTTTCTCCATATGGCAAACCACACTCTCAGGCAGCCAAATGGGGTTATCCATACCTTGTGGGAAGACACAAACCAACCCTCAGGCCCATAAGCAGTGACAGCCTCTTTTTTATTTCATTTTATTTTTTTTTATTATTTTATTTTATATAACAAAGTCCAATTAAATGAAAACAAACATTTATACACAATATTTGGGAATTTGGAAGTTGTTCTTTCCAAACTACTTCCTGCTGGTAAGGGGTGCTGTCATGGGGGATTCGAAGAAGATTCAGAAATCCTGGCTGTAGTCTATAAGGCTGCTTTGTCCAGCTGTTTTGAATGTAGGATCACCTTGTACTCTGTTTCAGGCGGTCTGGCGTGATCAAACCACATTAGTCTGGAAGGAATCCACATCTTTTCATTTTCTGTGGAAACAAAAATAGAAATCCTTTTCCCCAGTAACTTGTCCTTGAACTTAAATTTTGGAGTCAAAGCATTTTTTTATTAAATTTAATTTATTATTTTACATGTCGATCCCAGTTCCCTCTCCCTCCCTCCCTCCATCCCTCCCTCCATCCTTCCCTCCCTTTTACCCTCTCTGCCCTCTCACATGCACTCTAACCACCCTCCCCTCCCATCCCCTCACCCCAATTCCATATGTAGGGGAATGCCATCCAGTTAGGGTCATGTAGATCTGACAGGTCATGTGAAGTAGGGACTAGGGCTTCTCTCCTGTCTCTAGATTAAGGCAGTTATCCCTCCATGGGGGATATGTTTGCAAAGTCCTTTTGTGCACCAGGGATACATCCTGGCTCCACTGTCTTAGACTGCTCAGTCCTTCTGGCTGAGACCCATATTCAGGGGGGCCTGAGTCAGCAGTGACAGCCTCTTTAAGTTGTTTTATATCCTTGAAATTTAATGGGCTATGCTCCCTAATCCTGTTACTCTGAGGATCCACTGTCTCCATCACAGGAAAAGCTTGCCTTTCCTTTCTAATGCTTCTACCTTCGTTTTTAAATCTTTGACCTCCTCCTCTATCCCTCCTGGCACAAAGGCCCTATTAAAGGGATCACAAGAAAAGGGATTGTGCTGCAGCAGACGGCATTTGTGCTCATCAGCTGCAACAATTCTTAATTTTAATTGTTCAATTTCTGCTTCCAACGTATCTTCTTCATCAGTTATGGTAGAATTATCATCTCCTAGTTGAGATCCCTCTTGTTCCCTGATAGATTTGACAGATTGTTAATCCTGTACTTCCTCAAAAGTCCTATTCATTTCTGCCATTTGTTCCTTTATTGTTGCTCAGGAGCGCATCTTTAACTAGACGCCAAAGGGAAAAGATGGCAATAGGGAAATTGTCAGGTCCCTCTTCTTTATAAGCCTTTTGGAGATCTCTTTTTACCTCTTCCCAGTTGGGGATGTTTAAGCCTCCAGAGTATATAAATCAGGGACTATGTTTCTCTAATATGGCAATGAAATCTTCAACTGTCTTATTTTTAATCCCAGTGCCCTGTCTTTTCAATAGAGCACGAATTGCCCCCTGACAATTTCCTTAGAGTTATTGGCACTCATTCTTCAATACACCCTCATTCACTTACTTTGATGGCTGACCTCCGAGGGCAATCTCGTAGGTGATCCTTTCTTCCCCTTCTTGGTGGCACCTCCACTTGTAGCACCCATGTGACAATCTGTTTCACTAATTGGGTGAAAGCATAGAGATTGAAATAAGAGACAAGACAGTGGGTCATTAGTTCAGCAGGAATGCCAAATGCCCAATGCCTAATGTTGTTTATTGAGGGAAAGGAGCGGGCTTATAAACTGACTCACAGCACAGTGGAAAACAACCCAGGGTTAAGAGTGTAAGTTTTCAGGCTTGGGTCATCCCTAGCAGATGTGTGTTAGCAAAACAGGAAGAGTAACAATAACAACCCTGGGGCAAGAAAACAGGAAGAGTACCAATAACAACTATGGGCAGCAAGATGTTCCAGCTAACAGCTTCAGGCTTGCTCAAGGTGCCTCAAGGTTCCATGCAGGGCCCTACACTCACTCTTTGGCCACAGTGTCCTTTGTGGAGGCCTCAGGTCATTCCAGTCCATTTTAAGTGCCTTTGCTATAATGATGCCAACCTCTCTAACATTTTAATGTGTCTCTATCTTTTCTATGCTCTTCTGTGGGAAAATTCTAAGCTTCATTAACATTTTCTCCAGTTGTTCTGCTTTGTGTTCATAATTCTCAATGTACATTAATTAAAAGCATCCAGCAATATCCATACTAAATCCAGAATGCCAAATTGTTCCCACTAACTCACCACCAAGATTTGGCTTAAATATCTAAGTAACATTAACACCCATTTTGTTGTATCAGGTTCAAAAGATGCTACAAGGAGGTCCACTAGTTAATAAAAGACAATTTAATACTTTATTGCCACTATTGTTATTTTTACTTATTTGTTTGTTTATCTGTATCTCTTGCCAGGAGTGGTGATGTATGCCTTTAATCCCAGCATTCTGGAGGGAGGGGCATGCAGATGTCTGTGAGTTCAAGACCAGTATGGTCTACAGAGAAAGTTCCAGGTCAGCAAGAGATACACAGAGAAGCCCTGTCTCAAAACAACAGACAAAATTATCTCTCACATTTCTAGAGATCCAAGGTCAAGTTGTTGGGAAATCTGATGTCTGTCAAGGCCCCGTTCCTTCACAGATGATACCTCATCGGGTGTTCCTATGATGGAAGGGAATGGATGTTTTTGAGAGCAAAGCCCTTCTGATCTCACAATGCCCCAAAGCTTTTCATTTCCTAATACTATCAGTCTACAAAGTAGGATTTCAACATAGGAGTTTTGAGGAGATCCAAACATACAGAAGACAGCTTACTTTGAATTTTCTACATATTTCTACATATCACTTCACATTTCTCACAGTAGTTTACCTGTCTCCCTGCGTCATTTCTTTATGATAAAATATATTTGACAAATCATAATCATTAAAAAACATGGAGTAATTCACTTGCTGAGGAAAACCACCCCACTAGCAAACAATGTTTCCACACATGCTCCCATGCAGACACACTATCTCATGCCCCTGTAAATAGCCACCCTAAAATCTCAGGTGATACTGCAAAGGTTTAGTTAGTTGGTTAGGAATAAATAAGTTATTGGCTGCATTTCAGCAGTTCCCACAGTCCCCATGGCAAAAGACAACAGGCTTGTTTCTTGAAGAGATACTCTGTTTATTAGGCTCTTGAGGATTCAGCCACAGCTCTTCTCAGCAGTTCCAATGATAGAGGAAAGTAGATTCTGGATGACCTCACTTTGCTGATTAAAGAATCCAGCTTAGAAATGACATGGGCCATTCCTGCTCACAGTTGATTTAACCTGGATCTGTCTTGTTTGCCCTCCCTACTCAGTCACAAGAGAGTAGCAAGTTCTGTTGTCATCACATGTGCCCAGAAGACAGGAGAATGCAAAGCATTTGGCAAAGAACTGCAATGATCTCCTTACTAAGAACCCATGTATCCTTATGTTGAAGCTATGACTTAAATCTTGGGGATGACCATGCCTTGCTGTTACCCCTAAGATAGATAAAAGTGAGCATCCATCCTGTTGGGCCACTTCCTTTGACTCACAGTCATGCAATACACTGCAATGCAGAGACTGAAAAATGAATGTGAGAGTATTGGTAACTTAATTATGAATTCAATAAAGTTCTTTAATGTTGGTCTTTGTATTTCTTTGCTCCTGGGGATTGAACCCAGTAGCCATTATTATTAATATATTCTTTTCTCGACAGTCTTAAACACAGGAACTATTTATTTATTTGCTTCAGTCAAGCTAAGACCTAAGTTGGAAAACACAGCATAGTTCTGATATAACTGAAGGAAAAAAATCATGTAGAAAACAATCTTTACTTCATATGTTTGTACTACTTTTATGTATATAAAAACACATAAGATACATAATTCCAATAGCATTATGATGTTTAATTTCTAAATATCTCTGTGATGCCCATTAATTCAGCATGTGCTTTGCCCAAATTCTGTTAAGCTAACACAATTAGCTAGGCCATCACATTTCTTGTAGAAAATGGTTCTTAAATCTTCCTAAAGCCTTTGGCCATTTATGATTGGAAGTGGCTGCTAATTTAGATTTCTTCCTGTAGCACAATAACTGTGAGCGATCTCCGTGTCACGTCTGTGGGTTTAAGTTATGTCTTAGTGTAAAATACAAAAGGTTAATTACTGTTCAGAACCTGACACGTCTGTGGGAGTAACTGCAAGTTATTTATCATCCTTCCTCTAGTTAATTATGTTAATTGTGGTGGATTTACAATGTCAAGTGCAAGAATGTTAATTAATTTAATAAGCACATTTTCTTGTACTTTCTGTTTCAGTTGATCCATCTTTAGTGAATAAGGATGAAAATGCCATCTATTTATTGGGAAATTCCCTTGGCCTTCAACCAAAGATGGTTAAGACATACCTGGAAGAAGAGCTAGATAAGTGGGCCAAAATGTAAGTACCACATTTAAAAGTGCAATTCTATATCTGACACAGAACTTTGAAAATTACAAAAGGTTTTTGGTTAGGGCCAGTTATGCCCTAGCATTTTAGGTACTGAAGAAAACCTAATTGGCCGTAATTAGCGATACTATACTATTCTGAGGAAATAATTTAGGGTCAGAATAAAGTTAAACTGCAAATTTGTGATGGAGGAAATTAAAGCAACATATTTAAATATTTAATTCCTTTTCCTACATCTAAGTCAATGTAATCACTTTATTTCACATACTCAATGACCAACAAAGAAGCTAATTTATGATGTTGAGTGTTTTATGGCTAATTCATGATTAGTTATTAAGTATATCAAAATATGAAATTCAGGCTTGTTAACATTGGGCCAGGACACAGGTCATCATGGATGTACTGAATATCTTCTGATCTTAGCATTTTAAAGCTCCTACAATTTTCCCTTGTGTAGACAGTTAAAACCTATTTCCAGGCTTGGTATATATGAATTCTGACAAGCATCCATTTTCCCTACTGTGCTCTTGTATACTTGTCATCTTCTAATGATTAACCCTTCATCTTTCCACCCTTCTTGAGCCCTCATCTTCTGGAAAAAAAAATCTCAGCCATTTGTTACCTCTCCCACATGTCTCTACATTAATAACACATCTCTTTAAACATTTAAAACTTTTTTATTAACACCCAACAGTTGTACATATTGGTGAGTATATCAGTGTGATGCTTTTATATGTATTTATAATATATACCAATCAACTCAAGGTAATTGAGGTTCCCATCCACTTTTCACAGTTTATTGTGAATTATGATCCCATCAGTTTTATAAAACACTAGAACTTATTAGTTCTGTCTAACTGAATTCAAATACTAACCCTCTACAATTTCCTCTTGAGTATACTGCTTAGAGACATCTATTTTCATTACTTTCCTGTTCTTAGGAAAATAATCTGGTTTTATATATTTTCTTTGTATCTACAGTAATTACTTATAAAACTGAAATGAGATCTATTTGTAAAGTATTTGATTTTTTTGTCTTATTGCTGAATTGTAAACACTTAAGTATTTAGTATTTTAAAACAGCCCAAGATGTTTTTTTTTAACTGTTTTCACTGATCATTTGAACCCCCCCACAAAAAAAAAAAGATCATTATGGAAATGATTCCCACCCCAGGGCCAGAAGACCACATTTCAGAAAGATGAAGCCACATTAAATACGAATTCTAGGGCAGGCCATTTGGCACCCTATAAAATCTCCTATTTCCTGTCCATTCCTCCTTCTTTGTGCTTTGTCATACTGGAAGCAGTTTAGTTCTTACCACCTAAGTGAGGACAGCTACCATGACGCTCAGGAAACACTGCAAAGTCCTTACTTTTCGTGGTTAAAAGTGAGAGCTCTCAGATTAATGCAAGAATGATAGAAAGCTTATATAATTTATTAAGCATGTTATAATTTCATCTGCCCGAGAACTTTTATGTGCAAGTTTCAAAATACACATCACCACATTTGAAAGCATTTTGGACTAGCAGGTTTTAGTATTTAATGAATAAGGGTCACAGTTAATAAAAATGGTTGATATTCATGTTCGTCCTTAATGTTTGAGAGCAGTGTTAAATTGGATGATTTTGCACTTTTGAAAGTGTCTTTCCCCATTGAATACTCAGGCAGCCAGGCTTTGCATTTTTATGCTCTAGGTATTTAAAAGATGCATCCCTGCTGCTCCATTCACTCCACATCACACCTCAAACCACCCAGGGACTGGCTGATGATTGTTGGGATGTTCGAATTATGTTTCAGGAAAGTGCCTGTCTCTCATAGCATCGTCTATTGTGGCATTTCACTTTCATATTTTACTTTGTGAATGTAGACAAAGCCAGAGCCTTAGTTAAATCCTTCTAGTGCTCATTAAACAAATGACTCACAGAGGAGTGCACGTTAAGGCTGAAAGCAATGGAAACTGAATTAAAGGCCTCTCCTGGGTAAAAAAGAGATCCACCCACTTTTGCTTTGATTGCTTTACTTCCTCTTTCCCTCAGCCCTGGAGACCTAGTCAACTTTGTGGCCCTCCTTGCTCTTAAATAGCAGCAGAGTTTCAGATGTGCAGGGGTACTTCTGTTCCTTCCTCTCTTGCCTCCACAATCTTTGATTCAAAATACAGTCTTTATTTGTTTTTTTTTTTTTTTGCTCCCAAAATATTTGAGTTGAAACCCCACTCCTAGCCTTTTCCATGTGAGAGTCTGTAGGAAAGAATTTTTTCTTATCAACTCAGTTCCACATAATGAGAGGACCTGCAAACTTTCTGACAGCTGAGAGATTATTGAGGGAAAGCAGGTTGGTACAAGCTGACCGGAATGTTTTCTTAATGGCCTAGTTGGCTGAAGAGCTGAGCATGAGGGACAGCTGTAGTGATTCATGGGAAACACAGGAGGCTCTGTGGGATCTTTTACAACTATGGTGATGCTAGTGGTGTACTGAGCTGGAGCCTCCAGGAAGGACACTAGGAAAGTGACTTTGACCCTCTGAGTTTGGGTCTGTGCAGCTCTATGTAAGGAGCTTTTTACTTAAGTTCAGACTGTATTTTTTTGTTGTTGTTGTTGTTTTGTTTGTTTTTGCTTTGTTTTTAAACTTGTTCTGTGTGCACATTTTTCATTTAAACAACTGTAGCACAGTGCTGAGGTATGCTGTCAGACTTTTCACTTCCCTTTCAGACTACTGTTCTGCTTTCCTCCTTGTGCCATTTGTCTTTACATGTGGGACTTCCCAGTATTGTGGTAAGCATTAACAGATGCAATATGACTCTCTGTATCCTCCAGACCCATTTTTGCTGTAGGGCTGATACCCAAGCTAGGCCTGTGACTCTTTCATTGGACCAATAGAAGATTCTCAATCAAAGAAAGCTACAAGCTACATTATTTTTTCCTTTAAAAAATTATAATATAAAGAAAAAAAAACTTTCATGGCGGTATTTTCACACAAAATTTAGTTTAATTGGTTCTCCTTCCTCTACTTAGCTTCCCTGGCCTCCTGCTCCTGGGATGTTGCCATTCCATTTACAATAGTTCCCTTGCACCTTTCATATCATATGTATTCTGTTCCTCTAGTCCTGTACCCCACACATGTTATCAACTATACAGTCCCTTTCCTAGTTTCATGACCTATAGTCACATTCATATTCATATATGCTCTCATGTGATACAGTACAAATACTTCTCTTTCTGAGTCTGAGTTGTTGCATGTACTATAATGACTTTAAGATTCCTCACTTTCATATAAAATTCAAAATCTCATGTACCACATTTTCATTAACTCTATCTCTTGATAGAATTCTAGCATGCTTCCTTTTCTACAGCACAGCATTGCACATGGATAGACAAGTATCTCTAAACATGCTACAGAGTCCTTTTGAGTAGTGCACAAATGGTATCGAGATGGTAAGCAATGTATATCTTTGATTTTGGTGGAAGCTTTCTCACTCACCTCAAGTGGGCTTTGACTTGGAAGTAAGAGCATCAGAAACTCGTGGTCACACAAAACGTGTTCTGAGTCAGTGGATCACAGATTTAAAAAGTGAATTTCACAAAGCACAGAGGGTGAGTTTTAGATACATTTTGATTGTAAGGAGTTTAGGAAAAGAAGGGTTAACATCCAACACAGCAGGAGAATGACAGCCAGCATGTCATTCAGCTGCTCCTCTGGGGGCTTTGAAGGGATGTAACTAGAAAGTCCTACAGAGTCTCATAGAGAAAAGGCCAGAAGGCAGCTAAGAGAGGGTGCTCTGCTCAGTGAATCCCACAGGCCTCCTCTAAATTTCAGTGAATTGATATTCATGAATAACTTTCAGGTAGGACTGCTCATTTAGGGAAGGAGAGAGAAGGAGAAACCAGACCAGGAACCAGAACTCCTTTGGGGTTTCTGACCTCTAGTTAGGACAAGACCAAAGGACAGGAATAAGAACTCTTTGCTTTCAGCTTTCCCTAAAACCACCGTCCCAGTTTCCATCTCCCATTCTTTTAGGTAAAACTGATTTGTGGTAGCATCACTTTTAGTTTTCTTGAGAAACCTCCATATTGGTTTCCACAGTGGCTGTTCCCTTTCCTACTTATGAGCAGGAAATAAGGGTACCTTTCCCCTACTTTGCCAACATTGATTGCCATGTTTTCTTTATGATGATCATTCTAACTGGATGAGAAGAAATCCCAATGTATTTTTATTTGCATTTCCCTGATGGATGAGTAAGTGAAACAGTATTTAAAATGTTTGTGGGCTCTTGGTGTTTCTTCTTCAGAACTATCCAGTCCATTATCCTATTTATTGATTAGCAGATTTGGGTAGGTTTATTTTGGAGGTTTTCAATTTTTTCAGTTCCTCATGTATTCTAGATATTAGCATTGTATCTAAAGTACAACTGGTAAATATGTCTTTTAGCTTTCATTTCACTCACTGTCCTGAGGGCTGATAGTTTCTTCTGCTATGAAAGCTTCAAATTTACTAAATGGTCTAATATGAATTAAAGTTTATTGTCTTGGTAAATACAATATTAAAAAGCACAGTCTTAATAGTAGCATTAAAAGTATCAATATACTTTGACAAAATGAGACATCACTAAGAGCTATGGATATCAAGGCAGGAATTGTCATATTCTTTTACTCCAGTGCAGAAATCTTGTCTATCTGTCTACAGCTTAACCTACTTCTAATGGTAACTGATCTTATACTTTATGACCACCATGTGTGACTAGTGACTTTCACTAAAGTGAAAGATCAAAACCCTTAGAGATTTTTAGCATAGAGCTTTACAAAAGTTCTAAAATAACAAAATACCAGAGACTGGAAATCTTATAAAGAACAGAAATGTATTTTCTCACAATTCTGCAAAATTAAGGTATGAGAAGGCTTGTTGACTTCTGAAGGCTACTCTTTGCTTCCCAACTGCTGTTTCTTCCCACATCACTGGTAATGGATGGTCCATGCACCTTAATTACTATTTAAAAGCTCAGAGTCCTATTCAAACCTCTATTACATGGCTTAAATCACTGTTTAAATCAGCAGTTCTTAACTTGTGCCTTGAGACTGTTGATGGATTGTCTGTCCAGCCCAAATAACCACACACAGAGATTTATATTAATTATAAACTGTGTGGCCAATGGCTCAGGCTTCCTATTGGCTAGCTCTCACTTAATTATTAACCCATATCTATTAATCTAAGTAATTCCACATGATTTTCATCTTACCAAGATGTCCAGTCCAATTTCTTCCTCAGAAGCTACATGGTGTCTCTCTCATGACTCACTCTCTACCTTTTTTTTCCCAGAATTCTACTAGTCTGGTAGCTGCATCTATACTTCCTACCTGGCTCTGACAAATCAGTGTTTTAGTACACCAATAAAAAAAGCATGTATTCAGAGTATACAGAAGGACGTTCCCCACCATGAGACCCCCTTCAGGAGTAAAACAATCCTTTTATAGGGGTCACCTAAGATCATAGAAACACATGGATATTTACATTATGATTCAAAAACAATGGCAAAATTACAGTGATGAGGTAGCAACAGAAATAATTTTATGGTTGGAGGTCATCACAACAGGAGGATCTGTATTAAAGGGTCACAGCATTAGGAAGTTTGAGAACCAGTAATATAAGTGCTGTTCTTAATACAAATACACTGATGAATTACATTAGCTTATGACTTCTGAAGAAATATGTCTAGGCTCTAGTTGCACACAAAGTACTTCTTCTATAATTTCTACATATTTGTGAAAAAATTGCATTCCCCCAAGTTTAATGAGAGCTTTGACCTCTTATAAAACAATCCTTAGTATTGTCATTTTGCAATTTGATTTTTATTTATGAAATTTTTGAAGTTGTTCTGAACAGTTTCAATTATACTTATTTAATATATTTGTCCTGTCAAATGAAATTATTTAAGCAATTCTATTATTTTGAAATAGAAAAGTTGTAGCATAAATAGATTCATTTGCTATGTAATAATTATTAACAAAAAGTTTTGACAGTCCTCAACATTGTATCACAATCCTAGTATCCTACCACTCAGGATGTTGAAGCAGAAGAATTTGGGTATTTGAGTACAACCTTAGATATAGAGCAAGATACTGTCTCAAAAGAATGAAGAAAAATATCTTATAATAAATAGAAATAGTAATATTCTTCAACCCCATAGTGTGTGAGAAAGGATAGGCTATCAGCTTACAATGTTTTATACTGAATATTTCCTAATGATCTGTGTGGTGGTCTAAAAGAAAATGTCCTACCCCCACCCCAGGAAGTGGTGTTCTCAGGAGGTATGAACTTGTTGAGGAAGTGTGTCACTGTAGGGGCAGGCTTTGAGGTCTCTCCTGCTCAAGCTTCCCTCAGTGTAACATAACAGGCAATCAACTTCCTGTTGCCTGGAATATGTAGGAATAAACCCCTCCAGCAGCTTATCTGCCTGCATACAGCCATGCTCCCTGTCATAATGATAATGGACTGAACCTCTGAAACTGTAAGCCAGCCTTCTCAATTAAATATTTTCCTTGTAAGAGTTGCCATGGTCATGGTGTCCCTTCACAGCAGTAGAAGAAACACTAACTAAGAGAGTCTGCATTATTTAAAAGAGTAACCTGTTAATAACCATAGTGGTAAACTTCAGTTAAAAAGACAAAAAACAATCTATCTAAGACTATATTGTACATTGAGAAACATACATTATATACCAAAGACAGAACCTAGAATCATGGTATTTAAGTTATCTACATTCTCAAATCTTCTAGATAGATGTCTTCTGTTTTTCATAGGTGTAATGCATGCTATGGTATGCCTTCATAGGGCATTTTGTAAAAGGTTGACAGGTTAGGTAATGTTAGTTAAAGAAGAAATGTCCCATTGATTTATACTTCAGGAACATTCCAACTGCCTGACAGAAGAATTTACGTGGCAATATGTTTATGGACAGTGCAATGATGGAGTAGAGTGGAGAATTTTTCATCTGACAATACCTATAATAGCTTTTATTTAATTATGAATGACTTCCTTTAAATAAAAAGGGACACATGCATAAGAAAACACAGATTTAAGAGCATCATTGTCATCTAGTCACAAATTGGTTCATGGAAAAAATTGTGCTTCATTAAGAAAGGCTGTAGAAATTTATTTACTTATAGAGAAAGCTTTCTAAATAGGGCCACTTCTCATTTCGTAGGATGGGTAAAATATGGTTCTATTTTAAAGAGAATCCTAGTTTCTATTAACTTCTTAATTAGATGTTATATCCTGACATCTAATTTCATGAGCAAATATTGCTCATAGCCATCTCATAAGACACCCCACTCCTGGCAATGATTAATATTGTGATAATGGCTTAGCTCTTCATATTTCTTACTCAACATTTGTAAAAGATTGCAGCTGTATTAGGCTTATTTTCAGCCACTTTGAATGAAAACAATCTAGCAACTTTCTTAACTCTAACACATATGTTTATAACTGCACTTTAATTGACATCAATTCTTCCTAATGACAGACCACTTTACTTAGGGTTTATTTGGATAAAATGTTCTAAATACATTTCACTACCCCAGGCTAGTGGGCTGACAAAATGAGAAAGGAGCCTTAGTGTGTAATATTTTAAAGAGAGGGAGATGCCAAAAGCCTTGCAGGGAGAAACATATCCCTAAAGATTATTACCATGGTGTCTACCAGGGTGAGAAGTAGGTGGCATAATATTCTGAGATATAAATTCTCTGAGGCAGAACATAGAATTTTACTACCTAGATCTAATAAGATATATTATGCTATCAGCAAAGGCCAGGGAGCTCTATGTGATTAAAATAAAAAAGGATCCAAGTATCTGCCTTTAACTACCATTTAATGATAATGATTTTTGTCTTTAACATTTATATTGGGAGTCTAGAGAGGCAAGCTGCAGGCTATCTAATAATAATATGAATAATAATAACTAGCAATTGAATTGCCCTTTTCTTCCTCCTAGTTCTTAGCAGCCTATGTTTATTCACACAGAAAGTCCTCCTCTTTCATCTCAGTTTATATGGTAATGGAAATATTAGCCTAAAATTTCCTGTTATGTACCACACGTTGATTAAGGCAGTTTAGCATTAGATTTACATTAGAAGAGATGAGTCAGCAAGGGAATATTGTGCATCCATCTCTTTTATATGCTATCTCATTTCCTTGTTCTGCCAACCCTTTAAAGAACATACTGTCACTCTTTTACTTATCTTTACAGACATGGAAAATTAGCTCCTGGAAGCTTCTTGTAAATGAGGTTTCCCTCCAGTAGAGACCTAAAGTTGACTCATACCATATGACAAAGTGCCAGCTATCAAACATTCGGAATGAATTTTTTTGTTTGCTTGTTTATTTTTGTTTTTGTAGCATGGCATCACATGTGATGGCATCCCAGCTCACCACAGGAAGATGAAAGAATTTCAATGGGTGGACATAAACCTTGATTTCCCTTACATACAAAGCATGTACAGTAGCCTTATTTCATAGTTCACAAGGTATCAAACTAAGACCAATCCATTTCAGAGTTATAGAATACATGAACATCCAACAGCACTTTAGATGCTCCTCCACATATTTTGATTTAATTCCCTCCACATTTTAATGTGTATTATTCTTCCACATTTGATGGAGATTTCTTAATACTGAAGGACTCCTTTGTATTTTCTTATTTGCCTCCAAGAAAACCTGGTAAGAAATTCACTGAAGTAATAAAATTGATCTGGAATATGAAAGGTCAATATGTGGAAAAGATAGGTGAAAATGTAGTGATGATTATGACCGTTATTAAATTGTTATTTGCATAAAATACTATCACAAGTGTAGTTATTTTGTGTATTTTTATTTCATTAATAGACTTTGGCCTCCCAAAATAAAAAAGCATGTGTATTTTTGTACCGCTGCTATTGTATATAAGTATATTAAGAGGAGTTCTCCAATAGTCTTGAAAATTTCAAACTAAAGAGAAAAATATCTATTTAGGCTGGGAATGTTTTAAAAAAATGAGATAGTACATGGATAATCATCCATCCATAACAGTAAAGAAAAAAGCAACAAAAGAATGATGAATCTTAAATATACAGTACTAGGTATCACTTCTTGATTTTGAAAAAGTTATACTTTAATATTATTGCCCAAACATCAAAGGTGTGTGTATTTGTTACTTGTCACTGGCTGAGAAGAATCAACCTTTAGAGGGAAAGATTTATTATGACACATGGTTTGATACAGAACCTGTGACAATAATTGCAACTTTCAGCTCCTGTGACAGAAACATGAGACTGTTGGCTCACATCTGGGCAGATTAGGAAGCAAAGCAGATCTGGTCTACAAACCTCAGGTTTACCCTTCACTTACCCACTACCTCCAGCTAGGTCCTACCTACTGAAGATCCTATTACTTCCTAAAACAGGGCCACCTACTTAGAAAGACATGTTCTGGTACATGAGTCTGTGGAATACGTTACATCTAGACTAAAACAGCACACATAGAAGTATTTTACCTGCTAATATTTGAAAACAAAATCACACACCACCACCACAACTAAGAAATGTTTATGTCCCATTTCAATTTCAGGGGAGCCTATGGTCATGATGTAGGGAAACGTCCTTGGATTATAGGGGATTTGAGTATTGTAGGCCTTATGAAGGACATTGTAGGTAAGTACAAAACACGGTGAATATTTTTCTGAAAGAATTGTGAAGATATAATTTAGTTTGAAAAATAAGTGAGAGATCTTATTGACTAATATTCTGATTTTCTAAGTTAATCCATAAAAGTAAAAAGAAAATATGCCTTTATTATTACTATCCAAGATTTTATGAGGAATATAATATCAACATACAAAATATAGAAATAAATATCTGTTATTTCAGCTCTTTCAATTATCCATTTGTTTACTTAATTCTTACTTTATAGTAGTTCCTAACTCAAAATATTTTTGTGGTTCATTAAGTTATACCCAGGGATTTTAGGTATCAGTTTGTTTTTAATACTGTCTTCATCTTTAACCAGGCTGTCTCAGAACTCTTTCCTTATTCTCTGGTGTGGTGGGATTATAGGCATTTTAGCTTCTTATATACTTTGAAACCATTATTTATCACCCTCTATAAGGAAAAACATTTTATAATTTATAATCACACAATTAAAAACTGTGTGAATACTATACAATATGACTACATAATAAACATTACTTTGCATTAATATGTTTATTATAAAGCACTAAATGGATCATTTCAATTTAGTCCTTGGTGATCTATTTAAATTAATACTGAGCTTGGTGCAGAAACCAAGGAGGACCTGTGGAGATCCTGAGTTGGCATACAAAGTTGCATAGTGTGATCCCATACTAAACTGACTTTCTGTGTCTGTCTTTCTCTTTTTCTGTCTCTCTCCCTCACTCCTTCCCCTCTCTCTATGTATATGTGTGTGCATATATGAGTAGATGCGCCTGCAGAGGATAGAAAAGGCCTTTGAGTCCCCTAGAGCTGGAGTTCAAGACAACTGTGAGACATCCAACATGGGTACTGGAATGCATCTTAGGTATTTTTTAATGTCCTTAATTATGGACCCATTCATTTATCCCTGAAACTTTAGCTATAATATGACTGGAGCTATTTTGTGGCATAATGAGTTTCTTCAATTAAATTTTGTATCCTATCAGAATTTATGACCTTTTAGATAGTAAATTAACTTTTTATTTCATTGGCTTGAATATTTAACATTGACTAAAATTTTATGTGAAGTTCAGAGTTATGCAATACTTTTCCTATTTTGTATGCTATCAGAAAATATTTGATGTACTTTAGGAAATTTACAATGATCAAATGGTTTTGAAAATTTTACACCCTTATCAAAAAATATAAAACTGTCTTTACTTTTGTCTTGTTTGACTCTGGACAAGTAACTAGATGATTGAATCAGCATGGATGACAAGTGGAACTAAAGTGGAGAAGTAAGATTCAAATGCAGAAAGGCTATGACAACCCATTAAAATGTAAGATTTAGAATATCTACTCAAAAAATAATTTATGATCCTTTGTTAAAGATCCCAAACTGAAGTGAGGGAGAAAAAAGAGTTCCTGGTTCTGTCCTTCCATAACACAAAAATTAATATACATATGACCACAAGGAACCCCAGAACTTTCACTTTGACTCATGCTACCATGGAAACGAAGTTTCCAGTTGACCAAGTTCCAAGCATATAGAAATACATTTCGAAGATGGGGGTTTCTTTCCTGCCTGGTCCCACAGCTGCTTTGCCCCAAATAAACACAAAGACTTATATAAAGTATAAAATGTTTGGCCGATGGCTCAGGCTGCTTATTGGCTAGTTCTGTCTTAATTATTAACCCTTCTCTCTGCCTTCCTCTCCCCAGCCTTCTCCTGGTCTGGTAGCCTGCCTATATTCCTGCCTGGCTACTGGCCATTCAATGTTTTATTCATGAACCAATAGGAGAAACATATATACAGAGGGACATCCCCCATCAATGTTTTATCTGAGTCATCACTCAGAAATTATTTAAGGAACTGGATAATATATATATATAATAAACTCTAAATGAACAAAATAGAAAGCCAAAATAAATGATTTCCATGCTATTTAGAGAATCTGTTAGCAGGGACAGTTGCTAATTGCATTGAATAAATAAATAAAAACAAATATATACACATTAAGCCAATTTTTTCCTTCTAATGGAAAAACACATTACAGTCCATTCATTACCCTGGCAATTATCTTTCAAAGGTTTGGAAATTACTAATCCATCAAATAGGGGAATGTGTATGAAGATAGGAATAAAAGAAAGATCTTTTGAAAGACTGTATACACTGTATCCAAATGATCAACTCCTCTTACCCCTGGGTGGGCTCCAGCCTCCTCCTATTATCAGACTTCCACGAAAGTCCAGAGGGTTGGAACACAGGGAAAACCAAGCCCAGAAGGAGGAATGCCATGTTAGTCTGCCCAGGCTGCCATAACAAAGTGTTCAAGATGAGGAGGCTTTAAAAGATACCTTTTTGTTTTGTTTTCTTTCTGATACCGATAGCCCTGATCTAAAAGCCACCAGACTCTCTTCCAGTCTTATATAAGCCAATTTCATATTTCTCCCATGTTGTTCATAGCAGCCAGAACTAACCAGGAGACTGTATGCTTTCTCTGCGCCTCAAACCTAAAGCCTCAAACAGGAGGCCATTCCCCTTCCCAGTGACTCAGTGGGACCACCTTACTGTAAACTACACCACATGCTTCACTTCAATTATATTGAGTTCCTAATGTGCAAATGTCTATTGCTTTAATGTGGCCATGTTACACAATTTGAATATGGGTAAAACTGAAAGTACTACCTCTTGTTTAGGAAAATGTACCTTCATAGACCAAAAGTATACCTGCTAGAAAAGGGCTCAGAAATTTGCAGGTGCAGCTTTTGGGGCAGCAAATGAAAAGGTTCAGGGAGTAGTGGGATCTGCATTAAAAGCCTTCACAAGAAGTTGTAGGTTGTGTATGCAACCTGGTTTCTGGAATCTGGAACTCAATAGTCCAGAATGCCAAAGGACATCCAAGATTAGGAAGGCCAGAAGTGCAGCATCTCCTGCTCTATGAGGTTTTCTAGGAGCAGCGCCCTTGATCTGCCCAAAATACCTGTGCATGACAAGAGAGGAAACTCAGATGGAAACAATCTGTAATATAGCCAATAGACTCAGTTTTTAAAAACCTTTTCTGTTTGTTGAAATTTCTAGAACACAAACAAAGGAAAACTTACAAATAAATATGTATATTAATTCAACATGAGATTTGTGTTTTTGTGTATAGAGTATGCATCGTGTGGGGGGCAGTGGGTGGGAGTAATAGGTTTCCTTTTTCAGATAACAGTTGCATTCTAATCCTCTTATTTTGTGTCTAGTATTTATTATCCTCAAAAAAGGGGAGTTAAGATATTTATATACAGGACAGGAAAGTAATAAAATGATATTATTTGCTGATATTTATTTATAAAACCAATAAACTTTACCCAATTGTCCTTTGACCATTAAAAAGTTTATAGGACTATTGCATCTCATTAAATGTACAAGTGTTTTGTTGCCCAATAAGTATATGCATGCCCCATAAAGACAGTAAAAATTTCAAAGCAGTCACCTTCTACTCCTGTTAGTAAGGAGAGAAAAAAGGACTATAGATGTTCAGATTGCTTCGAAAAGAAACATATTTTACTATTTTTACATTTGAAGAAGCTACATTGATTAACCACTTTTTTGTGAAGCATTATATAGTGTGTAAATTCTGTATGGTGTCATGTAATTCATGTTCTGATGCATTTCTAACACTGGAAACCAGTTGTGACACTGAGACTATGTTAGCAATCATTTGATTAAATTCTGACCCCAGCTTCCCAGAGTTAGTTCATATTTCATAGGTTCAGAGTTTGATCCTCCTCTGGTGCCCCAACTTCTGCCACCTGCCATTGGTCCCTACTCTGTGATAACTATATTTTAGGATTTCTATTTGATGGTGATTACATGACAGCTGTTCTCAGAACATAAGATATACTTTCCATAGTCTAACCAGCCGATTTGAAAGGACCCGACCCAGTATAGCAATAAGGAAGCTCAATATCATGTGGGAGGGTTGCTGATCAAGCTTAACATGCCCTCAGTACTCTGGGGCCCAGTGTCCAATCCCTGCCCAAACAGCAGGCAGTAGGTAAGATGACAAGTTGAACCATCTGGCCATATGATCTCTCCTGACTTCACCTAAGTCACAGCTTGGAGTAAAGAGCCAATCATATGAGACATTTCTTTCCACATTTTTACTTTGATGCTGTATTAATTAAATTAGAGATATTTCAGTTCCCAATGTCCAAAGAAATGTAAGAGGTGCTTATTATTGAAATGTCAAAAGTCTATTTTGTATACATGAAACTCCATAAAATATACAAAAGTTTCCAAAAGCCTCGAATCTTGTATAAAAATTATTATAGAGTTAAATACTTGGTTTTTCTATTGTAACTCATGATGTGTCCAGTAAAATATCCCTAGTATTGTTTTATTGTCTACAGAATACAAGTTTTATAAAAGTCAATTATAAGCAATATTCTTAAAGATTAATTTTTATAATTTAAATAAATACCATATACTAAACTACATCTAAAGTTGTATGTAATAGAGAAATATTTATTCCTTGGTATGATTAAAAGTTCAATTCAGTGTTTACATTAATAGGAGTAGTTCTTTTTTATCTTTTTTGATTATGTGTTAAAAAACAAAATTGACTTTTAAAATCTTTATTTGTGTGTGTGTGTGTGTGTGTTTTTTTACTTTAGAATTGGATAACATTTCCCTAATGTAGATGTTCTATCACATTAACAAATATCTATTCACGCTCAATAAGGCAACCTATAAAAGACCAAGGTAACAATACCATGGAAGCCCAATTTGGTGGCCTAATGAGCTTATTGGGATACCTTACAATAGTGTGACACAAAGGCAATTATATCAATAATAGCCCATCAAAGCAGGGGCAATGATTCTCAAAAGGTGAAACCTTGGAGTTATTTACATAATTTTCAGGTAGCACAACAGGTTGGAAAGTATGTTCTACTCAGTAATCCTCACTGCCTATTATTCTTTGGGAAAGAAAGGCCCTGTCTATCTGGTAAGATTT